TGTTATCAAAAACCAAAATCAGACGTTTTTTTTTTATTAGGTCTTCTTGTTATCCGTTTTTTGATTCAGACAACATAAACAGGAAAACGGCTTTGGTTTCACGTTTTTTCGTTTTTGATTTAAAACGAAAAAAGGCTGATATTTTCATTTTTTAGTTCAAACGAAAAATCAAACTAACAAAATTTACACTTACCTTTTTTTAATTAGGTTTTCTCGTTATCCGTCTTTTTATTCAGACAACAAAAATGGAAAACGGCTTTGGTTTCCCGTTTTTTCGTTTTAAATAAAAAACGAAAAAACGGAAAAAAGGCTGGTGTTTCCGTTTTTTGGCGTTTGGTTAAACGAAAAATCAAACTGACAAAAAGTACACGGAGCTAAAAGGCTACCTTGCTCACTTTTCATGGCTTAAAAAGCTGCTCGTGTAATTTTTCAAATTCAAACTGGTAAACTTGTTGTTTATTATATGCGTTTGCTGTAGCAGAAAGAAGTGGAGAATAGCGTTAAAGAATTATGCATTTAAACCAAAATCAGCAGACATGTGCGAATTGACAAAGGACTGGGAAAAGCGTAATATTTATATGAAAGTATTTTCTGTTCTTTGGAGGCATTCATTTAGCACTTCATGAGTTATACCCTCATTAGAAATAACGCATAAATAAACACTTTTGGATTCCACATATAGAGAAAAAAGATCCAGGAGGTTTCACTGTAATTTCTTCCTTTCTTCCCTTGTGTCACACATAAGTACCGAAACAGTGGCGGGCAAATCAGATGCTTGTCAGACAGCACCACCATTTTCTGCTACAGGCTCCTAATTACACGCCATGCTGTCTTCTCCTTCTCCACTGCACGCTGCATGCCAACTATTATTTAAGGAGAGGACACAAACTAGGCTATATATGCAATTGATATTCCTACACGAAATTGAAATTAAAACTCTGTCGTTTTAATGAAATTTAGAAAAGCTTTACACAATCTACAAGCCCCACTTTGCCTTATTATTAGGCGGCTGATGGTTAATTGTAGCAGAACGAATTCATAAAATGTAACAGTTATCATTCGTCAGAAAAATAATCTTTCCCTTATATTCCAAGTCAGGTTAGCAAATGTTGAATGTCTTCTAAAATGTATATTAACCGACCAACTACTCTGCAATGTCTCAAGTTAACTATAGGAACATTACTAAAGTTAATGAAATGAGAAATTACGAGTAGGCTAGGTATAGGGCAACTTCTTAGATAAAGCATAAATGTGTTTTATATATTTGGTAAAGCAGTAGTAGGCCTATAGGCGTGTTGTAGAACTATTTATGCATGTCTGACTGAAGTAGTAGGCTATAAGGCTATAGTGTGTTCGGTAGGCTACCATTTGTAGCACTACACTAATTGCAATTATACTGTTGGGCTGTAAGCCATCTGAACACAACGAACCTGTCCATCAGTTAGTGCTTTTCAAGGCCCCTAGTTTTCTTCCGCTGCTTTGGCAGGGATGTCATAAAGTGTCTCTCCATTCTTAAAGAGCATCGCTGGAGAGGATGGCACCTTACAGCGAGGAGAATCGCTGAAACGCCCACAGCTTTTCAGATGGTAGGCTATGCTGAAAAGACACTCCTAACCGGGGACAGAGGCTGCTCCAGTGCAGTCCTCGTGACATAAAATAGTTACCGTCTGGTTGAAGTTTTCCCTGCAAAATAACATCCAAACTCGCAGCGTCAAACCTCAAATGGCGAGTATATGTTATTCAAGCTTTTTGTTTGGTCTGCTCGCCTCATAAACCCCGTCTGTAAATCTTCTTAATACTCTCTTCCCACAAAGTCAAAGCTATTCTTTTGAGGAGACCAACAGAGGCTCATGGCTCAAGAAAAGTTTGTTTAAGCCAAGAAAGGGAATGCCACGTGACATCGACACTGAATGCCATTCAACTTTTTCTGAGTGTTTCTATGAACTCTTCTCGGCATTGTTTGGTTTGCCACTATAATAGCGACGCACATTAGAGCTGAGAGCCGAATGGGGAGATAATGAGTTATTTGCATTAGACTGGGCCCAGTCAAGCGCTCTTAAGAGAGCAGACTTGGATGAAACGAGCTGCAGGCCCCTCTATTCCCTGCTCATTTTGCTGGTCATATGTCTCTGCCACGGCAGTTTCGGCACAACTGCAGCATACTCTCTCAAACAAACAGGGGTATAACTAGGTGCATCGTGCATTTAGACCTACGGTAAGCGATAGGCCTACGGTAAGCGACCCACCCAAAGAAAATACTAATTATTTTTTTAATTACCGTGGAATTACCTTTGGGCTCGTAGAAAGAGCCATGTTGCTGCTCAACACACAAAGCAGGGGCTGCAGAGGCCAATCAGCTGATTTGAGACACAGGTCTGCATCTGAACACCACCGTATTCTTACTTAACATGTACGCATTTACTGTGAGCCAAAGTTGACCCAAAGACAGGGGCGGACTGGCCATCGGGACGTTCGGGACGAATCCCGATGGGCCGGTGCTGAAGTTGGCCGGTCGGATGATGTGGGCCGGCCGGTAACCGGCAGGGCTCGACATTAAATTACCCGCTGGCCCTGAAAAACTATTTAGACACCCCGGGCCAGCATAACGTACTTTCCACTTGCCCGCTCGGGCAACTAAAAATATTGCTTTAAAACATTTTTCCTGTGGTATTGGTATTTTGACTAGCAATTTAGTTAAATTGTTTCGTTTATCAACGCTACAACATAGCGTTCCGTGAGTCGGTTGTCGCTGCTGGGTGAAAAGCAAGGCCCTCGTGAGCGGGAGCGCGCTCCTTCACTACAGACTATCGCGCCACCTAACCATTCGCCAAAATGTTTTTAATACCAGCGGTAACCGGCCAAGCACCGGGCAAAAAACTATCTTCAAATAAAAGAAAGTCACCGGAGGAGTTAAAGGAGAGTGACAGGGAGCATGAGAAGAAGAGGGAGAGAAAGTTTCAGCCAGCTTGATAGATGGAGTTGGCTTCTAGTGGTGCAGTGACGCGTCCTAAAACCCTTTTATAATCTATCGATTAGATTTATGATCCGAAAATTATAAAAGTAGGGAAGACATGTGGAGATTATCCGGCTGAACAAAACGTACATTTATCAAACAGGTATTTTTTCCACAGACCTTATTTCCAGCTATTTTCCAAAACCCTGTGGAGAAATCCCATTGCTTTTTGTCGAGGGAACCAGCAGCTTACTTCCTGGTTTTAAGACGCGTCACTGCACCTCTCAATATGATGCCAATATAAACAAGGTCTTCTGTCGGCTCTGTACATCAATGCCGACCTATGCTGACAAGTAAGTGAAGAGTAGACAATATAAAGGTATCGGCGTAATGTCCCAGCAGTTTAGGATAATGAAGGTTCTAATCAAATCAATTACATAGCCATTACATGTCTAATTCCTAATGACAGGAAGGCAGAAAGTGCATTATACAAATAATAATACTCATAATAGCAGACATTTTTTAACAATGACCACAATATCATTATTTTAATAAACCAAATATGAACAATTGAGGAAAATGAGGAAGAACTGATGATTCAAATGTTGTAGTACAAGTAGTACATAAATTACTATTACACCAAATGTGTTAATTTTCTTCATTATTAGTCGATTTTGTTTTTGGACGAATGCTCCGGGCCAGTGGTTAAAATGGTGGGGCCAGTGATAATACCCGAAGTGGGACGGTCGAGAGTCCCGGGCTTATTTGTAGTCGCAGTCCGCCCCTGCCCAAAGATCTATGGTGTATAGTCCTACTTAGCACCAGGAAAATGGCCAGCAAAAGGCTACAGACAGAGCTTGCTTGTCCGTTATAGTTATTATCAGTCATGAGAAGTAGAGAAATTACTATATATACAGAGGGAGGTGTTTACTGAGACATTTATCAAATACATTTTAATTTATTTGGAGGATTTCATGTATTTTCACAACAAACAAGTTTACATTTTGTGACAAATCATTTTCATCGTGGACGATTCACGGGTGAAAAAGATTAGCAGAGGATGGTTTCGATCCATCGACCTCTGGGTTATGGGCCCAGCACGCTTCCGCTGCGCCACTCTGCTACGACGGGCTGTAGATGAATTAATGTTATTTATATAAAACATAGACGTCAGCAATTGTTACTTAGACGGTTACCTTGTATTTGTAACTTTGCAAAATGGGTTAAAATGTTGCTGGTTGGAAGTATATTGCCGCGATCATTGGAGACTGATCGAGGGAACATTACGTAATGCATGGAGTTTGCTGCGCTGCCAGTAGGTGGGGCTATAACTTTGATTAAAAATGGGCCTGCCGCCTTTGAGCATAAAGACCATAAACTATAAGACTGGGACCCTTATATAACGTTTACCTTTTAAAGTGATGTGATCAACAATGTAATACAATTGATACAACCGTTTCTTTGTTCAAGACATAGACTTGTTGTACGTCTCCAAGTGTTAGTCTACATAATCTACCAAATGCCATACCTGTAGATTAACCATTTCCCTGCATCCTTTATAAAGAAATATATAAAAGACTTGTCACAAAATGACCTCACTTGAAGTTGATAAACCCAGTAACTTTAAAGATATAGCCTACATAACAATGAGGCAGGCTACAAAGCTTTCTATACTTCAAGGAATGTTTCCAAATGAAACACAGGTGTATGTCACCATGACAACTATATTAATACCATCTGAAACTCTTAATGTTAAGTTATGATTATTAATAATTTCATTATCATAGGATTGAAGGACAAAACACTACACTAGTTTTTTCAAAAGTCATCCGGGCTAAATTTGTGTTTATGTCTGAGTTTTAATTAAAGCTTGTTCATTTATTCATCTTTTTTCTTGTGGTGCCATGCCAATTGTAGAGATACTAAGTTTTGAGAGCATATGCGATTTCCTTTTTGTATTCTTTCAAGATTCCTTCAAAATATCAAAATATATCAAATGGAAACATACATAAATAATATGCAATTCAGAAAATGTCTTAAAACAAACTGGTGCATCATCTTGTGAATTTATTCAGCCATATCTTTTTAACAAAGTCATCATCTGAACAAGAAAATCATGACATTTACATCATTAATTTTTTAGTCATAAATCTTTTATGTTACAAAATGATATTTCAATATTGTAAACACAACAGAATGCAAAAATCTATGATATAGTAAAGCTTAACAGAGAAATGAAATGTTTTGCTTCCAAAGAAAGCACAAAACAATAATTCCTTCCACTTGAAAAGGCTGAGGTGCACTAATACACAAGGATCAAAACTAAACATTTTAAAGATTGCAGAAGGGTGAAAATGAATATGCCAAATGCGTGCCAATGTATAACTTGGATGGCAACTGCAAAATCATTGTAAAACCAAAGGGGTCATTTCAGTTTAATGTTGTCCTTATACTAATAATGTATTCGAAAACGTAAACCAAATACATTCATGTTAGCAGTTACCGTCCATTAGATGTCAAAGCTACAAGTTGGTTTCTGCTATCATTTGTAAGTAGTAAAGTTCTCACTTCCTTTAGTCAGCAAATTGTCATTTTGTGTTAACATGAGAAGTTTATCTAATTTAAAGTTCACTGCAGTGTCCTTAAGTAAGAATTTGGGGACATTAGAGGGAGTTTAACTTGTCTTTTTGAATACTACTTTTGTCCTTTGATATGTTGCCATGATTCGAACAAATCTAAAAACGTACCTTTTCCAACAGCATCCCTTGCTAGAGGTTTGCAGATGCCATTTGATGTATTGTTATTAGACATATCTCATGGGGCTTAGATAAATCAGGTTTTTAAAATAAGTAACCTTACTGAAAGAAAACTCCCAGAATATAACCATTCTTAATAAGATACTATATTAAAAGTTATTTCTGGCCTTTTTCGAAACTTTAAAATTGCGTTCTATTTCCGAATCTATGTTCCTAATTTTGCCATAGTTCATGTTGGATGGGTACGACAACAGCATTTAAGTCATGCTACATATAAGCTTGAAGGCTGCAATTAATCACATTTTTAACCATTCACATCTGTAGAGGTTCCCTCTTGGAAAGCTACTTTTAAAAATGAAATGAATTTGGTGCTCTCTAACAACTTATACTGAAAACAAGTAAGAGGTGAGGTCAGGCTGACAGTTAATCGTACCAAAGCACCTGCTTTATTGATCTGATGTTTCATGTAAATATGCAAGACGTGAGAACCTGTTTTGATCTCCAGTTAAAACAAACATCGGAATAATAAGAATTGGGAGAAAATGCTCTAAGCAAAGGTCTCATTAAACAAAACAAGAAAACACCAAAACCATAAATCCAACATCCTTCATATATACACATGACATGTCAATCTTCTTTAAAATCTGACTTCACCTTTTTATGAAAAATCAGGGGTCTTCACTTTATATCTCAATACCACACAGTTACTGTAAAACTATCAGGCATTACAGAGTTTGAGATTACCACTCTCAATTTACTTCAACAAAAGGGGGCTCGAAAAAAGCTTTCATGTTTTGTGATAACAATGGTAATAGAAAGGTACATCATGATTCAAATAAAATAAACATGTATAATGTCCTGAAATTAATCTCAAGGTACATTGGCAATATTCCGGAAAGTTTGGTTTGAAAGGCAAATATTTCCATACAACAAGACACACAGCCATTACAGGCAAAGTTAAATACAGTTTGAGTTCAAGTTCTGAAGTGCAAAAAAAGCAGGGAAAAACTGCACTTAAAAACGACCTCCTCTAAATCATTGAGCAGTTCATAAGAAACATCGAACAGCAAAAACAATGTTCACGCTACTAAAAGTTTATTTGTGACAGTGCTCGAAAAAAAAATGTCCTCAGAGGATATTTTGGGATGCGAAAGCTAAAGAGCAGGAAACCCAATCTTTAACCCGATTAGCATTACCCATGAAGTTGTAATGTCCAAAGCCCCTAAGGCCATTTAGAATAATAGATATTGATTCGGGGTATATCAGAATATTAGCACAAGTAGGCTACAAATTAAAAAAATCAATATGCCATTATCCCATAACCACCAAGATGTCAGTGGTTTTCATTGAGGAAAACATTTCGGTAATGATGTTGATATTAACAACTTTGTTCAGTTGGCTGAACCGACAGAATCAGAGCGAAAGGTGATGTATCCCGAGGACGATGCTGAAGGTGTGCTTACAAAACTGTTTGTGCTTCCTTTACTCTCGCCCTTGCTCAGGTGCTTTTGATGCCCCCAGTCAGCTCCAGCAGCCGCCCTGGCTCCCCCGCCTGTCCTGGGCCTACTGGACGACCCTGCAGTCTGTTGGATGCGCCCAGGTGAGCCCACCTCACAATGCGGTTTCCCGTCACGCGTGCGTTCCCTGCAGCCTTTTCCAGAGCCGCACGCCCCGGGGCTCTTCTTCCCAGCAGGCCTGTCTGCTCTGGGGGAAACCTGGGACGTGTTCTCCCGACTACTGCTCCTTTTGTGTTCTGAGAGCCGCCTGAGAGCTTGAGGCTCACACTCAAAGTCTGTGAGTAGGAACCGAGGGAGGATGACTGTGTGCTGGTCATACACATTGGGTATAAGTGAAATGCTGGATGCGCGCCGCGGGCTCTTTCTGGGGCTCGGCAGCGGAGTCTCATCTATAAAGTTGATCACCTCATCGCGGCTAAAACACCGCAGTTCGTCCTCATAGTGCTCCCCACCTGCACAGACAACGCGGGGCAGGTGTTTGAGGGAGTGCATGCTGTCCTCAGAGCGTCGCCGCTTTCGATGAGGGTGATGGTGATGGTGGCTCTCCTCGTGGTAGGAGACCAGGCTGCTCCTGCGCATCTCGCGGCGCGGTAAGGTGGAGCTGTAGTGGGCAGTCACTATGATGTCCTCGCTGGAGCCCCATCGATGAAGGTATGAGGGGATCCGGTCGCTGGTCCACATGTCGGTTTCGTCGTGGGAGTATCTTCTTGTAGGGGGCACCTGGACGCAACACACAAACAAAAGCCTTCAGTGTAAAAACATTACTTTTCCATTATTTCACTAAGAGCACAGATAGTAAGCATTGTGGCACTGCTCAATAGATAAGTAGCATGTTATCTAACATCAAAGGTATTATCCATACACCTAAATAATACATTAAAAATGATATAACATGTAGGATTTTTCAAGGTTATGTGGCCTTAAATGCCACTTGTATAAAGTAATAACACTAACTTGCAGTATTTTCTATGTAAATGTTTAGCTTGACGACATATATCAGTTATCTTACAAGTTAGTTTCAGAAATATTTATTCATTTGGCGCCCTGATTCAGCTGTGGTGTTTGTTTAAAATCCTACATGCATCACCTATAAGATGTTAAGTGCAATATTTACTTCTTTTTTTGTCAACAGCCTTATAACTGATCTAGTATTCACCTCCATTTCATGGAGATGCAACGGGGTGGTGTTTCTCTACACGTCATACTCACATTCCATTCTGTTCTGACAACTATGCAAGAGAGAGAGGGTTTGTCAAGGTGACGTCAAGAGCCACAAGATTGATATCAGCCTGCCCCCCTGTGGTGGGTTTTAGTAAATACAGAGAAGTGAGACAGCAGACGATACAGTAGCATTACGTGTGTTATGAGGGAGGGCCGAACAGCAGAGGGCAGCACAAGCATCAGAATGGATCAAGATGCAGGATGAGGAGGGACAGAGACTCACAATACACGCAAACCAAGCCAAAAGGTCTTTATTCTGCAATCAAATCACTTGAGAAGTGCCATAGCAATTCTCAAATGGAAGTGTTACTTGTTAAGGATTTAAAGTGTTTGGTTGATTTATATTGATTTAATTGGGCTATAATCTACCTAGTAGCAAGACAAAAATGTCGTTCTGTAACTGAAATAGAAAAATGCACATTTCTTTCACCATCACACACACACACGTACAGTAAGGAAAAACACATCTATATATCACTACAATCAAATGAATCTACTGTCATTTGATGATAAGACACAAAACAATGAATGGAGTAATGATGTGGTCTGATGAAATGATAGCTACTGTATACATCTCTGTTTCAAGGCTTTGTAAAAAGTCAAATTGAATAAAGATCCATTCTGTAGAATCCATGGTTTTTGAAAAGTCCATTATAATGTTGGACATTTGGGATTTAACAAATTACATGTTTATTTTTAAGAAGTAAATTGTTCACGTATTTGAACTGAAAAACTTTTGTTAAGTCGTTTCTGACAAAGATGACACAGTGTTAAGATGCTTGGTAAAAGTAAATATTGTGTGGGTTGCGTCAGTTTATTTTTAAAGTTACATATCATCATCACAGCCTTCCAGGTCAATTTGAGCACGATTTATCATCATTGTCACGGCATTAATCAATCATTTTTATCAATATTGATCCACTATCAGATATTGGGCCAGAATTTGGAGTTTAAAGGTGAGTCCGTTTTGATGAAATGTCCTAGAAGGCTGCATGTTAGAACAAACGCTTATTTGTTAAATGCAGACTGAAAAGGAGTATTTCACAGCTCTGCATCTGACTGGGATGGAGGCTGGATCCAATGGACACAATGCTTTTGGGTAAACATGAGCAAATGTTTATAGTTCTTTCATGAAACCTTTAGGGATTCCTGGAATATAGAAGGTAAGTCAGTTATTAAACTCTTACCCTCTCACAAAATAAAACTGTTGTAAAAAAGGGGGCCATGGCTAGGGCACACAAGTCAATAAATGAAGCACACCTATCATGTTGATGGGACTACTGATGGTCGTATTTACCAAACATAAGTCAGCCAGAGTGTATTTTAGAATCACGAAAAAAGACAAAAAAATATCTGTAACAAATGTCTGATGATTCCAGAAAATTCAAGCAAGTTACTGTTAAGGCAAACAAGGCCATTTCACCATGCACAGTGTTATTTAATAATAGTTCAATTGATCAAGTAAAATAAATGAAGAAAATTAATAAAAAATATACCTGCAAATACTGCATTTTATCTTCCTGTTGTTCCCTCAATGGATACCCATGCGGAACCCCCCTTTCTAAGGTTGAGAACTCAAACATGGCATTACGGTCTACCGTCACGATTTCAGGCGGCGAGCTATAGTCATATGGTCTGTCATATATTAAGTCGGCATGAATTCCTCCATCTTGGCTGTTTTCTGCAAAGTGCAGAAAAGCACGAGCGTCAGGATTAGAGAGCAACGAACTCAATACACAAGACAGACAGACACACAGACAGACGAATAGATAAGAGAGACAAGGTCAATTGTTCTCCGATTTGATGGGTTAGCCTACGGATCTGCTTTGGAATAGGAGGAAAATATATTTTCTTAATTTTTTTTTAAAAAAGGACCAATTTCTGTAGTAAGGGAATTAAAAAATACCCAGATTGGTTCTGAATCAAAAAAACAAGGCACATAGTTGAATAAATCTTCTTTGAGGGTACAGGGCTTATTCCCCGAACAACATAATCAAACAAACAATTTACAATGTTCTTGGTGTAAAAATACCCACATACCCAATTACTGCATTTATGTTCATTAAAGATCAATTGGAGATGGGTGCAAAATGCTGATTTTGAGGGAAATGTTGGCCAAAAAGATGAAAGATGAAAGTAGCTATTTGCACAGGCAGCTGGCATGCAAGTCAGTAGCTTTGGGGAAAAACAGGAAACAATCCTTATACATACAACTGGGATGAGTTATACATGGCAAGCCCTCTGGGAAAAGAAAGCAGAGAACTGGCAGTGTTAATTATCCAACAACCCTGTGTTGAGTTATGACTGCTGCTGGGAAATGAGCAGTTTTGAGGGAGGACTTCGAAAGGACAGTATCAAAAGGTTTGGAGGGTTAGAAACAGGAGAGAAGGGGTTCAGATCGGGTTGAGATTAAACAGTGCCAATAGAAGAAAAAGACAGAGGAATCATACTGTCATTAAAGTGAATGAATTATGGAGATCTGTTCATGGTCAAAGTCCACAAGTCTTTTTTATGATTATCATGTGACCTCATTTTGGGACCAGATGTTGCTGAAGCGTCTGTTATTCCTTGGGGAAATATTACATTTTAAGCCCCCTTGGAATTCATCTATATTTCTGTGATGACAGACGTGTTGGAATACTCTCTTTCTGCTTTTGTTTACAATCTGATACTGACATTTACTTAGGAGTTTAATTCAGACTTCTACCTTAATACATACAAAAAGAATACCATTTTGCTCTTTAAATCCCTATAATTAGACCAGCAGGTGGGAGTCCATACCAGACAAAGAGAAATTAATGGAAAAAACAAACCCATTTAAGTTGCGTTCCTGTAAAAACACCAGGGTGTCTCCCTTTGTGACTTAAGGGAAATATGACCATCAAAGTGACATGAAAGTGCTTTCAGGTTTACTACAATTATTCCAGTCTTGCTCTGGATCCTAACAAATGAATTAGTAACAATTGATTTTATAATCCTCTCTTGCCAGGGCATTTTTAGAGGAAGATTGCCTAGTTTAAACAAATAACATGCTGCGAGGTACATTTCCTTTGACCAGCATGTTTTGTTTTGGTAATGTACACAACACATACAAAACCACAAATAAATATATTTTAGTACACGTCACATAATAGATCACATGATAACATTTGACCGCTGATTTCAGACCTCTAACTTACACAATATAAAGTAAGTAATAATGATAATATTTTTCAAAAACGCTTTATTTATAACTATTTATTTAAGAAACATGAAATGAAATCTATGGAATGCTGAAGGTGCTAGTAAAGTTTAAATATTGTCAATACATGCAATAAATTAATAGTAACCACAATTCTGCTGTCTAAAGACCTACTGTAAATGTACTAACTACTACAGTTATATGTGTGTATAATGCTGTGTTGTGATTGGCTACAGATATGCAACCATGCCATTTCCCACTGATATAAAAAAAGTCACATCCTGGGATTTGATGGTGTCAGTTACCTTCACACACTGAGAAAAAACCACCACAGAAGTTTCTTTTTCTTGTCACAAGTATTTGATGTTTAGTGGCTTAGATTAATTAAATTATTAAATGATGTAATTGTTGACCACTCTATATCTAAGTGTCTAATGCATGATATGTTATAATTCCTTAGAACTGTGAATCTCAAAAGTGACACCATACTGTACCTCAAAGATAGCAGGGGGATATCTGTTTTAAACTATAAATGTCTTAGCTTGTAGCCAACCATTTTTACCATCCTGCTATATTTCTGCCCTCAATTTCCACGCACAACTACTCCTGAGGCTAAGAGACAACACTATTTAGGTTGATAAATCACATTGGTCACTGTATCTCCTAAGGCCAAAGACAGTCCTAAACACTTTGTGTCCAAACCCTGAATTCAGAGAAGTTTTTTACAGTCACTCTGATTCTGTAAACTCAAGAAAATTATCTGCAATTTAAACTTAAAAGGTCTATGAATTTGAAACACTGCAAGCATACCCAATTATCTTTAGAGCCACCTTGGACTTTGTGCACAAACTATTCTTTAACCAGCTTTTACTAGTTCACACTGGGCTGTCTTAGTACATAGGAACCATCATACATATTCACGCGGGAAGGAAAAAGGAGGCGGGACAGGAGGGGGACGTCTGACGGTGTCTTACCCTCATCCACGTCGTCATTTGACATGATGGCGACACATTTCTCCCACACCATGCGAATGTCGGCGCGATAGCGGTCACATGCCCAGATGAACATGGGCAGCAGGATGGATTGGGCGATGGAGCACCACAGCACACACAACACCATCCAGTTGTAGGAGCGGTCAAACTTCAGACTGGCAAAGCTCACCACCTGGGAAGGGTAAGGAACAGGTTAATAAAACATTATCAGCAAGTATAGCTAGTACGGCTATTTTTTATTAAATGTGGGACACAGTCTGTGTATTGACTTCTCACACGTACCAATTTATACTATTCGGATTGTGCTCGGCCTCTCTGAAGAACCAGCACCTTACCGTGGTAGAGAGGTTTGTGTGCCCTGATGAACCTGGGGGCTGTGTTGTCTGGAACCTTGTGTTCCTGGTAGGGTCTCCCATGGCAAATTGGTCTCAGGCAAGGGGTCAGACTAAGATTGGTTCAAAAGACCTCATGAAAGACGACACACGAAGTGAGGATACCCGGCCCGGAGGAAGCCCGGGGTCCCCTTCTGGAGCCAGGCCCAGAAGGAGGACTCGTCGGCGAGCGTCTGGTGGCCGGGCTTGCCACGGAGCCCGGCCGGGCACAGCCCGAAAAGGCGACGTGGGCAACACCTCCGCTTCTCCGTCCCGCGGGCCCACCACCTACGGGAAACAGCGATGGGGTCGGGTGCGCTGCCAGAAGGGTGGCAGTGAAGGCAGAGGGTCTCGACGGACCAGACCCGGGCGACAGAAGCTGGCTTTGGGGACGTGGAACGTCACCTCTCTGGGGGGGAAGGAGTCGGAGCTTGTGCGGGAGGTGGAGCGTTACCAGTTGGATCTGGTTGGGCTCGCCTCTACGCACAGCGTCGGCTCTGGAACCTTACTTCTGGATAGGGGTTTGGACTCTATTCTTCTCCGGAGTTGCTCAAGGTGTGAGGCGCCGGGCGGGTGTGGGGATACTCACAAGTCCCCGGTTGGGTGCTTCGTTGTTGGAGTTTACCCCAGTGGACGAGAGGGTCGCCTCCCTACGCCTGCGGGTTATGGGGGGGAAAACTCTGACTGTTGTGTGTGCTTATGCACCAACAGCAGTTCAGAGTATACGGCCTTCTTGGAGACCCTGGAAAGAGTCCTGTATGGGGCTCCTGAAGGGGACTCTTTAATCTTGCTGGGAGATTTCAACGCACATGTGGGCAATGATGGAGACACTTGGAGGGGAGTGATTGGGAGGAACGGCCCCCCTGATCTTAACCGGAGTGGTGGTTTGTTACTGGATGGACTACTCTGTGCCAAGTCATGGAGTGGTCATAAAAACACATATGTCGAACATCGAGTGAGCTCTCTCTCTTATCCTCGTCTACCAAGAGCACGTC